TATTTATTATATATATTACTCTCTGTATATATATTTACAAAGTGATAGTTATTTTCAGTTGTGTCCAATTAAATTAAAAAAAATTACAGTGACATGGCTAAATGTAGAGTGCCTTAGGCTGATGTTAAAACCTTGTAAATCCTTCTTTCAGGCACTACTGATGTGACATTTATAAAACATTTCCAGATCGTTAATTATTTCCTGTAATTTAAAAAAACATGCACCAGTGAAATTCACCTGCAGTGAATATGTGGGAATGTCACTTTGACTAATTTATAAATATGTTACTTGGTCTTTCTCATGTTTGCTTCTTCTGTTTGTCAATTAGGGTTACAGTTGCCACTTGTTAAGGTTAGTACACCATTTTTTTTATAATAGTGCAATCATTTGTGTTCAATGCTTTAGAATAATTACATTTGCCACTGTTCGAGCATGGTTTCCATTCAACAATGTACTTTTCACCAATTATAAATATGGTGTAAAATGGATGGCAAATAATGTTAAAGTAATATTCAACACAGAATATGGCAAATACTCACCAAAGTGGTTTGAATTAATCATAACCTTGCCATCAAAAAAGAAAACTCAACCCTCTTGGTTCAAGAAATACAATCTATACACTGAGTGGCCATATTATTATGACAACCCCATCAGTACTTCGTTGGGCCAAGAGATAACTCCATGAGATGACTTAGTTGGGCCGCCTCGTGACTCCACGAGATGTTGAAAGGTGATGCGAGGAATCTGATACTGCACTGTTGCCCTTCTGTTGTCTTGTACCAGTCTTGCCACTCTCCGTTCTGCCCTAACATTGACTAGTCGCTGACGGCCACAATTCGCACGTTCAGACCCAGATTTTCGGCTGACAGTCCAGTCTTTAAACACGTTAACAATGAGCCAACAATCATCCCACATTCAAAGGCTGTTAAATCGCGTTGTTTACCCATATCACTTCTACTGTCGTGGTAAACAACCTGCTTCCCTATTTATAATGGTCTGGCCCTCTAGCAACTTCAGCGCAAAATTATAGCTAATTATAGCTAATTTGTCTACAAACGTCAGGTGATCATAATAAACTGGCCACTCAGTGTGCAACTTTTTAAATAAATTGCACAGTAATACAGAATATATGTATTTTGGGAGTTTTAACTGCAAAGCACCATATATCACAAGTTACAAACAGTAAAACAAATGTTAGCAAAGATCATCTCAACTTAATCTAGACCTGCATATATTTTTTTATTCTAATGATCAAATATTTTCCTTAAAAACAAAATTCTCACCCTCCGACCCCTGCTTCCTTTAGGACCACGACCTCCAGGAGTACCAGGATCACCATCATCACCCTTTTAAAAGAGAATAGGTTGTTAGTAATTGTTCATTGTGTTTTATCAGAAACTGCTTTCATTAACTTATACATCTATTCTTACATGGATTATAAAATGTACTATTTAGTCACAGATTGTATTATTTCACAGACATGTTGGTTGTTTTATTATATTGGCTACATTTGAAAGAACATTTAAAGACATAGGGAAGATTATTATCAGGGGGTGCTAACTGATAAGTTGGTTAACTTGTGATCCTGGTTAGGTTCACTTGTGACCAGAATCTTACACATACACATAAGATATGTAGTTGGATTTTCTTAGAAATATCTGATATTCTGCAAGACTTCAGTTTGATCATTTCTCCACTTGATTATCAAGTAAGCAGATAATCATATGGGTGCTCACTTGTTGCTTACATTCAATCCCACAAACAGAAGTCTAAGGGGCTGGCTACTTAAAGTCTAAACTAAAACTCAGGAGTTAAATCTTAAAAATGCATTCAAGTACCTTAACTATTAACAAAAAAGTAGCTTATTTGTGTATTACTCGGCTGTAAATGCTCAGATCATATCTGCATTCGTGCTGAAACTGTTCTTCCTTCTGGAGAGTGGCTACTTTTGTTCCCCATGGTCCCTGTGTGGGTTGTAAAGTAGCTACTGCTCCAAGCTCACTCCCATGATGGACTACAATCTCGTGTTTAATGTATTAATTTTTCTGAGATTATAGACTATCATGGGAGCAGCTGTGGCCGGTGGCTACTTTACAACACCCACACATATTTTTCAGAGCAAAATGTATGTTGCACTACAGTAATTCTAGCACATTTACATTGATTAAATCGGATAAGAACATAATTTTATTCCCCCAATCTAACTCCGAAATTATATTATTTTGCAATACAGTATGAAATCCTCATATACATATGTTACATATAACTAAAAAAAAGTGTTGGAAATAATAAGCAGTAAAATTGAATGTCCTTTATACCTGAGGACCAGGGTAGCCAGGGAATCTGGGATTTTATTCCCCCAATCTAACTCCGAAATTATATTATTTTGCAATACAGTATGAAATCCTCATATACATATGTTACATATAACTAAAAAAAAGTGTTGGAAATAATAAGCAGTAAAATTGAATGTCCTTTATACCTGAGGACCAGGGTAGCCAGGGAATCCTAGGTGACCCTACAAAAGGATAGTTTGGATTAGTGCTTCTAAAATATAAATAACTAGGTATTTTACAGTTCTTTTAAAATTAGAAATCATAAAAACGACCTAAACTGTGTAAGCTGTGCCCAAAAAAGACAAGAAGATGAAGAAGGACTAGTCACCAGTATTGCCTGATGGCTCCTTCATGTCAGTGCTGTCCCTGTAATGACTGGTTGTGAACTATTTAAAAAGCAGAAGGAGAGGTGGAGAACACAGATCCACATAATTAATAAAGCAAGAGCAGGGAGATCCTTGCAATACAAGTCTTCAGGCACAGTTTAAAGCCAAGGGGAGCAGTGAGCAACACAGTAGTGACATCTCCAAATCTCACTCCAAATCTAGAAACTAACATTCAGAGGCAACAGTGCCCTAGATGATCTCACACTGCAGATTTACAGCTATGAGGCTCAAGGCACATGCTATTTTCAAGTTGGATTTTAAACAAAAGGTAGATTTTCTTTAGGGTACTACTTAGGCGTGATTTAACTTCTCCTTATAGGACATCAAATCTTCTCTTCTTGAGTTTAAGTCCATTTAACCATCATGCAGAGCCATGCCTCCATATTTCTTAAGGTCTTAGTTTTTTTTTCCAACATAATTAACCAGCAGCAGATCTCTTTCATGGTTAAAACCCATTTGTCTATGTTGGAATATAGTAAACATTTGTGAATCCACAAATTAAAATGCACATCCACCACTAAAAGTAAATGTTTTGCCGGGTTTTTCCTGAATGTGCTAAATCTAATGAGTTGCACATTACAACAGGAAGACAGAGAAGATAAAATGTTATTGCTTACACAAGTTATAAAACATTTACCCATACACTTAGGAAAAAATAACAATTCAGGCAATACATAAAATGTCATTAAAATAAAGCTGGTGGCTTGCTGTTCCTTGAAGATGTCTAATAGATTTAAACAACTTACCCTCTCTCCCTTTTTTCCAGGAGCACCATATCCATCAATGCCATCTACGCCCTGTCAGTCACAAAGATAATACAGAGATTTTCATTAGATTTATTTTTTTGGGTGAACATAACTCAGAACCCCATTGAAGTCTATATTGTTAATTTTTTCTGGCCTTTTTACAAGGCCAAATTATAAGATTTTGTTCTAAAAAGCATGGGTAGGACACGTGTCAATCCAAAGAAAAAATAAAAGAATATCAAACAATCAAAGAAATAGCATTCAGCAAGGAGAGGGTGCTATAATGTAGCTTAAAGGCCAATATTAAAAATAGTCAAATAACAGAACACCCTATCCCCCGAAACCTCCACATTCATTTTGGGGGCAGAATGTGGGGATGAGGCCCTTGTGCCCATCAACATTGGTTTGAGGTGCCTTGCAAGTGGAGCAGGGTGGAGAAGTTAGTTTCCTGTTTCCTGGCCACTCAGGCTGCATGCTTGAATAAGGGTTTTGTTTGTTTTTCCTTAACGAAAAAGTACACTTTTTTGTAAACAATGTGTACTCTGTCCAAGAAATTAAGGGCAGTGAGCATGTGTTGCCGCCTGAACCGTTTATTCTCCATTGCAATGGGCACCAATACCTAGTGTTGGCTTGTGTCAGAGCCTATAGGGAGCTGTGTTGGCAATGTGCGGGTCTAGCAATTGGCTGAGAGACCCAAGTAATACTATATTGGAGGAGGTCACATACTCCCCCATTAATGAAAGCACTGGGAATTATGCTCTGACTGAATCAGAGGAAAAAACAATGGGGGTTACTGGAGAGGTATAAGAGATTCAGGGGGTAGGGTGCTTTCACATACACTGAGTGACATTGTCTGAAGGAAGTAGAACAGATATGGAAATAAGATATAATTTGGTGGTGCAGTGCAGTACAGTACTTTCTCAAATTCTTTTCTCAGTGGCCTGACAATGATTAATAAATGCACTAATGCTTCCAATGGTTACCATTTTACAGCTTCTTTCCTTTACATTCTTGTCCAAAACCATGTACTGTATGTTATTGCAAACAGTATGCATCATTAATGAACACTCACACAACCAGTTGAGAATCTTACACCATGAGATCTTTATTATTTAGTCACAAGAGACTAAGTATTTTTTTGCAATCTAAACATTTAACTTTGTTATGATACACTGCTTAGGTATGCATACTTATGTATCCAAAACAACTGTATTGTTTCCACTTCTTGAAAACAAGAAAAACCTTTGAAACAAAGTGCAGTCTCTTTAGTTAGGTTGCATTTTAAATCCTTGCCATAGATTATATCACTGAGGAACCAGCATTTTTAAATTGGAACTTTCTACTGAACAAGGCATGTAGTCCTTTCTTCTGTGCAATATTTATCAAACAAACCCATAAATATACTAAAACGTAGGACATTCATTACATGAATTTGATTCATGATGATTTGACAGGGATACAAATGTTTCAAGACCAAAAAAAAGCATAAGTAACAGACCTAGCCAAGTCATAAACTGGTATAATATTTGTACTGAGAATTCACAGAGATATCTGCAGACTGTAGAAGTTAACACAAGTTATATCAATTGCTCATTTGTAAAGGACATTGTGACTGAACATTGAACCACCAACTGAGATAAGCATGCTTTCAGTCATGGCTCAAATTCATGCCCTACCAATGGTGGAGTGAATAGACCATATACCACAATATTTGTCACATTTGATGACAATACACGATCCAAAACATAATCAATCTACTGTCATCCAAAAGGAAAAATGAAAAGGAGTGGTTACCAGATACAGTATTTGTTCTCATATTCTAAGTTGCACTAGAATAACATTCCACAAAATGTTGGAAGCGTACCACCACTCTTAATGTATATATGCACTCACTTTATTGACAGTTGCCAGTGGGGCTGGTTGTAGATCACTCAAGTAGCTTGCCCAAGCAACTATTCTGCAGAGTGCAACAGCCTGACTGGACGCTGTAAGTGTGGCTGGATGGTACACATGCTTAAATACTTTGCACGTAGGCACTAATAATATACTAGTAATATACTGTACATATACTAATAATTTTTTTTAAATCTGTCTGGGGTCTCCCCTGGCTAAAATGTGGCCCAGTGAAATTACTTAAATACTGTGCATGGAGTCAGTACAATATTATGCTGGCTTATTTCTGGGAAATAACACATTCTAATGTTGATTTCTTGATCACAACCTTGTTGTTTCCCTGTAAAACTGCAGCCTGAAGCTGCTTACAAACTGTGCAATGGGTCATTACAATATTTCTTCCTTTTTTCTGTAAAATGAAACACTCTTATTTTAATTTCTAGAAATTGTGGCCTATTAAAAGCTGCTTACATACTGTTCATGGAGTCAGTACAATATTAATGTCTATTGTCTTGAGAACAATAATGTATTCATTTAATTTTTCATACTAAAATATGCCTGGTCTCACCCTGCTAAATTGCAGCTTAATAAAGCTGTTTGTGTGCTCTGCATCAACTGCATAATATTTATACTATTCTTAGTGAAATAATGCACTGTAATTTTTAGTTCTCAATATAACCTGTCTGGTCTTTTGCTCTCAAATTGTGGGCAGCTAAAGCTGCTTAAATAGTGTTAATCGAGTCTGTGCAATATTTATAGCTATTGTTTGCAAAATAATACACTCTAATTTTTATTTCTTGAAAAAACACGTCCCATCTCTCCCTTTGAAATTGTAGCCTAATAAAGCTGCTTACATAATGTCCATTAGCAGTGCAATACTTCTTAATTCAATACTGGATACATACAATATATTTTAAGGTTTAAATAAGTAAAATCAATTTATCAATTTGCTTTAATGTGCTAATTGTGGTAATGTGCTAATGACTATTTCCTGTTATCTGTCATTGGGCGAGACTTCCAACTCCTCAGAAACCACCTTTGGAGTTGGTGTCCAGCTTTTCTATTATTCTCCCAACACTCTTCCTCCACACTATTAGGAGAGGAAAAACTGAAAAATTTGTTTTACATATCCGAGAACCAAGTGCAGTTTACACCAAAAAACTTCCCTGCAAGGTGGCCATCATCACCTCTGCAGGGCTCGTTTCTAAGGTGTCAGCCTTTTCTTGCAAGGAACACATTTTTTTTGCAAAGGAAAAAATGCTGCTTCGGCCTAGGACTTGCTTTTTAAAAAAAGGTAGCGTCCAGGTTGCATTTCTGATATGTCCCATGTTTTTCTCAACACAGCAGGGATAGCCTTATAATTAAATTCTAATGTCCGTGAGAATCCTACTGTTCTGTCACACCACATACATCTTGTTTTAGAATTTTAACAAATAAGCATATAACAATTAATATCCATGGTGACAGATCTCATCTGGTTGGTATTCCTTATCAGATGAATCTGAATTAATGGATTGTTAGAAATACCAAATTAATGGGAAGTATATTGTTAGAAATACCAAATTAATGGGAAGTGGGTGTTAATGCAAGGCGGCGTGGGCTTAGGTGAATCACTACAGGTGGTACAGGGGAAAGCATTCCTGATACACAGGAAGTGAGGTATCACATACAAGCATGTAATTGAAAGGACTGTTGTTTTTTCCATGTTGCCCTCAAAGTTGCATATAAAGGAGGACCCTACCATCTGTACAGCATTTTTAAAAAAGTATTTTTGCATTGTCCGCCAAATGGCAGTGCCAAAATTTCCATGCCCTTTGTTTGTAATTTAAAACCCAAGCAGCAAGAAGATACACCAGCAGTAAATGTTTGGTGAATGTCACATTCACTGCTTAATAAATACATAAATAAATAAATAATTGCGGCAGTAGTCAATGGCAGGAAGACCAGGGATAGCCAAACTTGGAACTCCAGCTGTAGTGAAAATACAAATCCCATCATGCCTCTGCCTTGGGGAGTCAGGTCTGCGACTGTCAGTCTTGCAATGTGCAATGCCTCATGGGACTTGTAATTTCACTACAGCGGGAGTGCCATGGTTGCTTACCCCCTACACATTTTAGTTTAAATATCATTAATAAGGAATGAAATCCACTTGCGAAGATTAGTACTTTGAAGTCAACTATAACATCTTCAGCTTTCAAAAGTTTTGTGTCAGTGCAATGAAAGATGATTACTTATTGGTTGCTCTGTGTCTGTTCTTTGGTTTATAAAAAAAAAGCAAAGGTGACTCAAATAAGATTGCAAATAAACATTTGAAATGGTCTATATCAATATTTCACAAAAACAAACATGAAAATATCAGAGAATAAAACTCACCGGCAAACCTCGACCTCCTGAAACCCCGGTGTCACCCTTTTCTCCGATGTCACCTGGTTCTCCCTATAGTTAAAAGGTGGTGGCAGTTAACATATATTTATGTCAGAGAACTTAATTTTCCATTTTAGTTGAGCTTTTCCAAAAGCTATAAAATTGAATAGAGCATTAATAAAATCTAACTATTTCGAAGAAATGGCATTAAATGACTTCAAAAAGACTAAGAGCATTAGTGGCCTGTATTCATGCTAAATAGAGCAGTTCCAGCTTCCAATTTCTATTTGCATCTTTGGCAGGCTCGTATTTTAAGCTCTACAATGAGTACTGGGGGAAATTGGTAGTAGTAGTACTATTACATTTATAAAAATGAGAGTTAGAAGCAGAGAATTAAATGGTTTCGAAATATGATCAAATTCCCTAAACTCATGTTGGCAGATAGCCTGCTGATGAAACAGGCAAAAGTGTTCCAGAAGAGAGGCACAACACAAGAGAAGTCTTGCAGAAGTGCATGAGGGTTGATGGTACGTGATAATCCAACCCTAAGTCATTGGAGATCCAAAGGACATATGGCATATGGACGTAAAAGAAGACATAGATCATATTGGACACAGTATCAAGAAATAAATGCACAGAGAAAAGATTTTCCAGGTTGCCATAAAAAGCTAAATAAAAACTTTTTTAGGTTCTGGTTCCATATGCACATTTAGTATTTATGTTTTACTAAAATATAAAAAGCAGAAATTACCTACTTTTTGACCTTGAGATCCTTGACTGCCAGGGGCCCCAGGAGCACCAACAACACCAGGCGTTCCCTATAAAATCAGTACATGTTAGAATAATAAACAAACTGACAGGTGTTGATTAAACAGAAATTCCAGGTAACAAATGAAATAAATCAGTCAGCTACTAACTCTTTCCAGCTAACCATTCAGCTGTTATGCACTACAACGCCTATGTGTTGAAGTGTCATGCACTGCGAATGGCATTGCAGTACACCAACACATATAACTTATTATACTGCTCATTACCTCCCCATGCTTGTATAAATGGGCTTGGATGCATACTTTCGGAAGCATGCACCAATTGCCTATATCTCTGCTATCACCAATCCCAAGTATGGTTCTTATTTATTAGGTGGTTGTAAGAAGCTTCTTAATACTCACATTTGTTGCATCAGACTCTCTATATGTGAGAGACAGCGAGACAGCAGTGGGTGTGTTTGGAAATAACTCTTCTGCATCACAAGCAAGAGTTTTCATATGTCAAAATTACTGACAAAGTACAGGGATGAAATGGCTATGCCTGTACGAAAGCACAGATGTTGACTATTCTTCCATTATACATCTCAGGACTTAATTTTCAGTTGGAGTGTGCCTTTTAAATAAAGCATATATTTCAGGTCTACACACAGTAGACAAAAGAGGAAGCCTGATGCAAATTCCAGATGCCAGCTTTTCAGGCACTTTGCATAGAAAAATGAGCACTGAGTCAACTGGCACTCAACAGAGAAACGTGTTAACAGAAACTCAGACATTTTCATTTAACCTTCTGCCCACTCCAGTGTGCCTAAAAAAAAGCTAAAACCAGAGGTATGGTTTAGCTGGCCAAAATGATTCTTTGACTGAGCTCTGCACTAACTATAAAATAAAAAACATTTACAATTAAATATATTACTATATTTAAATATGGATGCAATATACTTATTACTACAGTCATAGCAATTAGACATCCCTGAAACATTCGGTTGTTTGCTGGGAAAACAACTCAACTTGTGTTTTTGAGCAACTCAACAACTCAGAAACCCAAATCTGGTCTGATCACTAATCTGACTAACACAGAAATGAAAATCGATTGGCAGGGGTGTTGACAAAGGTCACCTATTGTTTAGAATAGATGGTTTAAATCTTCTATTTTTTATTTTTATTTTTTATTGCAGACAAATATTATAATACAATATTTTACAGAGTACCAAATACTTTCCAAAAAATACTAGAATTCTAGCAGGATCAACATGTATTTTTCTGTACTGCAATATTTTTATACAGGCATAACATTGAAAAATGACCATATGCTTTTATTTTATTTTTTTCACATGTAGTTTTTATTGTTTTACAAAAGTATCAAGTTTACAAACAGTAACGGTACAGAAAAAAGGGGGGGGGGGGAGACAGAAGGGTT